TGTTACTTTTGTCCCCGGTCTACCCTATTCAAATAAAAACAATTATTATATTTTTTTACAGGGAATTTAGCGTTAAATAAAAATATCTAAATTTGAACATTTTTTTCTAAATGTTAGTGTTAAATTCGACAAGATTGTCTCCGCATAAAAATGTGTGAAATATCAGTGAGAAATATATCGCAATGCCTCAAACTATTAATTGTCATAGTATCTGTATTTTACAAATTGTTATCATATTGTATATACAAAGCGTACGTCAATTTATAGAATATAGAATGTAAACTTACAGATTTTTTTATTTATATGTCATCAGGTCTTTTTTCGGTTTTTTTGCTCCTGTGGGAATATTGTCAACCTTATTAGAACTGTTTGATGTAGTTTTTTTGGTTACTCCAACTGGCTGTAAAATGAAGGGCCTTCAATCCTGCTTTCAGATTATCTGACGCAAAAGACTCTTGAACAAGACCTTTATACAATTTGACGCACTTTTTTTATTAAGTATAAATACCGTGCCATCAAATATGTGTTTTAGGTTTTTTGACACTTTTATTTTATTTTTCCATTTAGGAGGAAATTCTTATTTTCTTTGTATCTTTCTTTTATCCATTTACATACATAGGAACTAGCAGCGTAATCGTTAATTTTCACACGACGCAAAACAAAATGTACTACTACTTATATCAATTTGCCTATTTCTTTTAGGAAGGTCCACGTTTGACACACTGTGCACCGTGTCATGCTGTGTGAATTATAGGTTAGATGAGGTTAGAATCGTAGTGGCAGTGCGCGCATGCTCGAGCCAATATCAGATTTTTTTTAAATTTTTAGAAAAGGAATTTTTAGTATTATATAATACTCTAAGTTATATAGGAATAGTTATTTTTAATATGTCAGTATATATTTTTTTTCTTTGCACATTTTAACTTTCATGACAAGATTATGGCAACACATTGTTAAATTCAACACTTGACAAGTCGTCTTACACAACAGCTAGAAATAATTCGAAATGTAATAAATTGGTGAAACAAAAATACTTTAATATATCTTTGATAAAACAGAATATCCATTTAAAATAAATGGACGATATAACGAACATTTTTAAAAATAATCTTCGGCTTATTTGTTGTTAGATATCGACTACAAAATGACTAATCATTCACATTGCTGTTATAATTACACATTGCTCAGATTCAAGATTAATACTACATTCGCTGAAAACTTAGTGTTACAATATGCCGCATGTGCGCTCATCAGCTTTGCATTGCAAACGTTACAGATAGAATTAAAATTAATAATACATTTAATGCCGTGCGTTTAAGTAACATTATGTGGATCGTGTGTCGTCAGAGGGCGATTACGCTTTCCCGTCCCGCTCCTACGCCGATCCATTTGACTGTAACCAAATAAGATATTCTATATCGAATTCTCTCGCAGATTTAAATGCATATTATGAATTAAAAAAACATCTACATACCTGGAATATCTAAGTATTCCTCTATAATTTGTATGTACTTGTGTGCATTAGGCGGCAATTTATCTAGGGAACGCACATCCTCGATAGTAGATTGCCAACCCTCGACCGTTTTATACACCGGTTCGATTTTTGCTAATTCCCAAGTACTGCCTGGAAAATAATCTATGTCCTTCCCATTTAACCGATATCCAACGCATATTTTTATCTCCGGTAACGTATCCAAGATATCAAGCTTTGTTAAGCATATAGAGGTGTATCTAGAATAAGAAACAACGATGTATACAGTGTTCAAAAAAGATCGTACCAAATTTTAGGAGTGTGTAGTACTCGTAAAAACGAACCGAAAAGTCTTAATAAGCATTACTCCAAAAACTATTTATTTCCGAGTTATTTTCTGCTGTAATAAATAAAGAATAAATTTAATCTACAGCCATAGAGATATAAGACTAGAGTGCGCAAGTCATATGCTAGCACGTAAGAGGCTGCGATATAGGAATAGAAAAGGAACGCTGCAGTATGGGCCCCTTCTGTCAGACAAAGCTTTTTCTTTCTATTCCTATCGCGAAAAGACAGCTTTCTCTTTCTATTCCTATATCGCTTTTTCAGCTCGCTTGCGCACTCTATTCTTATATCTCTATGTCTACAGCAGATGTTTGATGTGTCTTCCGTTCATTTCAACACGTATTTCGGCACGCTTTCTCATTGAGGAATCGAACACGTTCAAAGATTTCAGGTTCATTTCGTATTTGTAGACAAGCGTTTTCAACGTTCTGTATCAGTTCATCCAATGTGGCGTACACCATGCTCTTCAATCATTTCTTAGACCACTGTCAACAATTAATCGTTTCAAAGCTAAATAAAACAATAACTGATGTACAATAATAATAGAGGGCTATTCATAGATGAACCAACACAGAAAATTGAAATTTTTAACAAACACGCCGACAATATTCATCATTCATCAACTTTAGAAGCTCGAGCCGAGTATACGAGCAGTCGCATGTAAATACAATGCATAAATGTGAAATAAACGGAGAATACATCGAATGCTTTATAACTCGGAAATAAATGGTTTTTGGAGTAATGCTTATTAAGGAGGTTCGATGGCTACAACAAAATGCAGAGAGTTTCATGAAATTTTAATATGTTGTTCTGGAATGCAAAATAGAATTATGTGAATTTTTTGGGAATTTTTCACCGTCCCGATTTGAAAAAAATCTACTCCAAAAATTGTACTTTTTAAATTTTTGGAGTAGATTTTTTTCAAATCGGGACGGTGAAAAATTCCCAAAAAATTCACATAATTCTATTTTGCATTCCAGAACAACATATTAAAATTTCATGAAACTGGCTGCATTTTTAACATAGGTTCTTATGGGAAATGACATATTGAGCATACCTTCAGAATGAAATAAGTGCAAGAAAAAATGCAAATGATAAAGAAAAAAAAATATGCACATGTAACTTAATAAATTACAAATAAATGAGCGAAAGAAAGGGGAAGGTTACCGCACATTTCGTAGAAAAATTAATTATTAAAGCATAAATTCCTTGATTTTTCGTCTGCTAGACTGCCATGGTCGTGAACGACGTGAACAGCAGCACGCACTATACACGCGGCGACCAATCAGAGCAATCCCCTTCTCTCCCACTACTTCAAACGCTAGTGCGCTGTTGCCAGAACCCCCGCGTCCCACTACTCCCCCCGATGAAGTACTACACACTCCTAAAATTTGGCTTTTTTGAACTAGCTTACGGTAAAAGCGACATATTATGATATATGTATACAATTTATATCAAGCAGCTATTAAAATACATTTTTTAAATGAGATATTTTACACACCCATTAACCAAAGTCGTAAATTTGAGCAACGGTAAATCGAGCCATCCGCAACGTCTCTTTCGCTTTGTGGTTACACCGATCTCGTGGCCTCTTTTTTGCAACAGTTCTCCCGTAGAATCTAAAAGTTCCGTAGGAAAAGGTCCGTCGCCAACTCTGGTAGTATAAGCTTTCACGACACCGATTATCTCGCCGATTGTGCTAGGAGGTAAGCCGAGGCCTGTCAATACTCCACCTATACTGCAATTCGAGCTTGTCACATACGGATAAGTTCCAAAATCAATGTCCAACATCGCTGCATTAGCGCCTTCCACCAAAACCTTCTTGCCATCCTTTAAAGCCTGGTGCAAATATTGTACCGTTTCTTTCACGTACGGCCTTATACGTTCGGAATATCTGTAGTGAAAAAATCAGCCGTGTATTGTAAACGCTTGGACGATACGATTCGATTGGAAAACGACCATTATACGTACATTTTGTAACGCTCCAATTCAACCTTAACGTCGACGTGCAGAGCGGGAAACATTTTCTGGTACGATGTAACTAAGGTATTAAACTTTTGGGAGAACTTGTCAAAGTCTCCGAGAAGATCTCCAATCCTGAGTCCATTTCTATTAGCCTTGCTCGAATACGTCGGCCCTATACCTTTCTTCGTAGTCCCCAATGATTGCGTGCCTTTTTCCAGTTCTTGCAATCCATCGACCTGTTGGTGAAAATCAAACACTATATGTGCTCGATCTGATATTATAAGCCTGTCCTCCCAGTCCTTGAGTCCCTTAGATTCATTCTTTTCCAATTCTTCGAACAGACCGGGTAAATGAATCACTACTCCATTGCCTGTAAACAAAAGAGAGTCTGAATGAATAATAGTGGATTATATATATATATATATATATATATATATATATATAATTCTCAATATTTAAAAGAGAGTTATTCAGAGTTATATCATCAACAATTTAATATCTATATGCCAAGAGATATAGAGAGTAACCTACATGAGGAATACAAGTGGAATATAATTGTCTGTTTCATATATCCATGATCTTAGCGTCTCATTTGTCTTCACTTGTCTCACTTGTCATGAAGCAATTATTCTACATTCTTTCATCTTACGTTAATCATTAAAATCATCACAGAGACATTGTTACTTTTCTCACAAACCAGGATATCTATAGCTCGATTTATTTTACTGGTTGATTTGAAGTCATTACCTATTACGGATTTGCATCTGGGATTGATTATTCCACTAGGCAGAAGGTGAAAGTCGAATTCAGCACCTTCTACAACTACAGTATGCCCTGCATTATTTCCTCCCTGCGAAATTACATTAATACTTGAAGAACCAGGGCCACTCGCCATTATTTATGACGGGAAATATCGCGTTGCGACCCGATTTATTGAATTGCAAATCAAAAGTGAACGAAGGCTTTGCCACCAACATAAACAATGGCATTAAAATGCGGATATACGAGTACATTAGAAACGTTTATCCTATTAAAAATAAACGACAAAAAGAGGGCGGAAAAGAAAAAAATGTTTATATGAGTAGTCTCTCATATTGAATATGTATTGTAGAAATATATAAATATTTATTCATTAAACTAGAAAACAGAGTACATTCATTCAAATCGCAATATTTCTTCTTGATATACATCTGTTCTAGCTGATACTATTCCTGCCGCAGAGATATGAATGCAAATATGCATAATACGCTGATGTTACACAATTTTGATTGCCTTATATTAGCATAACGAGATTAATTATTCAGAACATTGATTCCGTCGTTAATTGCGTAGAGTAGACCGTCCTTGAGAAAGATATAAAAAGCTCCATGTTCTCTTATGACATGCGAAAGATATAAAAATTACAGAGATAATAGGCCCATATTCTGAACGCTCTTTTATCGATAAATGCGCGCATTTATCGATAAACGTGCGTTCGGAATATGGAGGCCATAAAGTAATTTGTCGTCTTTTTTGGTTTTTTAATCATAAAGATAGTGAAGACGATAATTTCGTCGGTTCTCCCTCGTTCGGAAATACATTTCGTTTACGGTCGTTAATTATGTAATATCATCAGAACGTCAGGTTATATGTTTGTGATACTCGCGCACCAGCACCAGGTCAGGTGACACGCGCCGACGGTTGCGGCTAAAAATAAAACTGCAGGAAGAATGGGATGGAAAACTCCCAAGTTTTTCGTATCGCCGGTGACGAGAGCGAACGCTCGCTCGTCATCCGACGGGCAACGGATGCCAAGCATTAAGTACTTTCAGGGAAATATTTCTAAAGAATCGCGTGCCCGAACTAACCTAATCCTCACTCCCCCTGCCGCCCCACGATCAATCGTCAACGCGAAAGGGCTCGGGGAATATCGGTCTCTTTAAAGGGCCGCATTCAATCTCCGTCGCATGCCATCGTTCGCATTCCGCAGAAGGGAAGACTCTTCTCCCCCGGTGGAGATCGCGGCGGGTCCGAAACGCGACATGAAATTCATGGAAACAGTACCTGACACCTGCAAACGACGTCAGCGTCCATCGCCAGCATGTCCACGACCTTTCCCTTGCCCTCGTCGCCCCATTGCGCGCCGAGGACCACCATGACCTTCGATATGGAGCCGGAGCCGCCGGTCACGACGGACGTCCGCTGTTTCTTCCTCGGCGAGACCGGGGCGCCGTTTCCATTCGCCTGCGATTGCTGCTCCATATTTTCGGATGTTCTCGGACGCGGGTGCACGCACACGAACGGTCACTGATCGTCGAATCGCACGTCCGCCGCTAATTCGCGAGAAACGTCGAGAGGCGCGTTGCCGTTCGGCAAACGGGATCCGGCCTTCTCTCGCCAAGGGAACAGCTGACACCGAACACGGCGGAAATCAGTCGAGACGATCGTGCCGATCGTGGGCGAAGAGTCGCCGCCAGTCGCCACCGCCGCTTTCGATCGCGTACTTCCCCTCCACTCCCCTCGTCCACCCCTCCCGCGACTCCGGCCTCCGGCTCCGGCTATTCGCCCTTCTCTCGCCTCCGCCACGCCACGCCGCCGCGCTGACTCTGCGGAACCTAACCTATATGTATATCCGGCTTAAGACTGGTTTCCAATTTCCATCCTTCGCTGACCGCGCTGTGCGCCGTTATGGGCTGTCACGTGCGTCGATTCGATCGGTGAGACCTCGATCGACAACAGACATCGCTTCTCTGCTTCCCACCAGGAACGAGAAAATTAAAAATTATCTTCTCGTAAGAACCTGCGCCAACAAAAAAAAATGTGTCATAAGAAAATGCAACCGCGCGGTTCAGCTTTGACGGCCTCGACCCTCGACCTCGACGTTATTGCGCTCTTCATGCGGATCGTATGTCAAGATTGTCAAGATTGTGTATATACGAGGTTACTCCCGTTACTCGCGCACGTGACTCGTCGCGTCAAATCGTCTGGGAAGCTCGATGCCGTGCCGCGTCGTCGGCCTTCCGGACACCAGACACGCACGAAGGAGGAAACCGCGACTTCTCCGCGCGCGGCGAGGCGGATTTATTTCCGCGCGCAATGACGCAATTACGGAGTAATATTATATACGCCCGATCTCGCTGACGAAACCGAGAGTCTGTTTGCGTGACGGCGATAATTTGAAGGATAATTTACTGTGCGCGCGCTCGATATGTAAATTTGACGTCTTTATCTGTCCTTCTTTTTTTTGTTTTAAATTTAAACAGATAGCGAGACAGACGATATATCTCTTCGTAGTTTGTTACGATAAATATTATTAGTACATTTGATAGCAGATTTAGTCGGATTTAGTTGGAATTTCGATTAAATTGGCGTCAATCATATCGGCATTAAGTAAACTTCCCCGTTTTGTCCGCTAATTTAACAACAGAGATTAGTGACAGAAATTGAACGTAATCCGGTCGTTTCATAATCATTTAAATGAAATATTCCAATGCGACTTTTCTTCACCTTTAATCCACTGTTTCATTAGATTTTATTATGTTCTTGCTGGCATTCTGCCGACAAAATTTGCAAGCAAACATGGAGAAGAATAATTTGCTGGCACAGAAGATTTTATGCCGTTGTAACAATTTAATGTTAAAAGAATACTCATCACACTATAGTTTGCTGGATATAATTTTGCTGAATCTACGAATTATTTTGCTGTGAGAACAAAGTAGTTCTTGTTCAGGCTATGAAATTCTTTTTGCCATATTAACAACGATTAACAATAAAATTTTTTTGCTACATGAGCAAAACAGTTTAAACTTTAAACAGATGATTTCGTTGAAGGAACAATTTAATTGGACTGTATGAGCAAATTAATCCTCTGTGTGCATATGTTTTTTCGGTACCTTGCCATTGCATACGTGAATCTGTCACGTTTGACGCTATTTTTCCCTATTAGGTACCTTAAAGTATATATTTTTAAAAATCTGAAAAAATTCACAAAACATCTGTCTACATTGTAATTGACGGTTTTATAGACGTTTTGATAAACATCATTTATTTAATATTTTCTGGCAGGCTTACAAGTTTTATAGTTACGAGCAGATATCATTTTGGCTCGGACGCCGTAGACCCACGTATGCACACGGAGGGTTAAATTTGCGATTACAACATATATTTATATAAATAAACGACATATTTTGGCTGTATGAGCGATATCATTTTGACGTAATTTCTTCGAGCATTCCCCAACTATCTAGCAAGCCTCGAATCATTATTGCTATATACATATACAGACAAAGTACAACAGACAGATATTACTTGAAAGTATGCGACTCTTGCGTTTGTAGTTATCTCTAAATGAGGAATCTCGTGAACATTGAGATTGATTGAGATCTGCAAACATCAACAAAGCTAAGCTCTTTGCGATGCATAATAAGTGTAGTGGAACCGGTGAACTTTCTTTTTTGTAGGAAGGACGAAGGAGAATACAACGACACAATATTCATAGAATACGTACAACATTCGTTCATTCAGAAATCGCACGTGCTCATGGACACAGCGTGCGTATGTGCAACTATAGCGCATGGGTACAAGGAATCTGCGCAGTTAATATTGCCTCAGCATTTTTTTCCCCCTATTTTTTCTTTTCTCTCAATGAAACGACAGACTATTGAGCAGTAATGATTTTACTCCGATAACAAATATATTTACTGAAAATATATTATTTTGCTTCAATAGCAAATTAACGTGACTCTAAAGACAAATACACTCAATAAATTTTTGCTATTCTTGCAACAAAATCGATTTTGCTCTAATGACAAATAATTCGTAAAATTAATTCCATCAACTAAATTTTGTTGCTGTCACTACAAATATACAACAACAGAATTATTTTTTTCCGGCAACACTTTGTAAAATATGTTTTCAACAGACTTGCGAAATGTCAGCGGTACGCGCGCCGGGTAAGATGTAACGAAGTTCACCTGTGGACGTCGTGACGTTTCTAAGACCGTTTCGGCTGCAAACAATTTTTCAAAGTTTCTGCAGAAATCGAGTTCGTTTCCTTCTTTGCTTTGAGTAATCCTTTATTAATATTAATTATACTTTCATCGTTTGATATTAGTATAGTCTCTCATCCTTGTGGGTAAAAAATTAGATGCCAGATCTTTCCTATGCGGGAGGGATTCATTAGAAGAAGATGTAGCGGAATCTCCTAACGGAGTACGATGACGGAATATCGCGGCAGGTCGGCCGTTTCCGACAGATTTGGCTCTGTCTGGGAAATTAAGTTCCCAGGATGAAGACGTGAAGACGCGAAAGAAAAGGGCGACAGGTTTCGAAATTGCAAATTTCCGAGCAAGTAGTAGAGCAAGGCAACGGTTTCCCGATCCGTTCGCGTATCGTCTAACATAAGAGCGCAGAAAGAGAGAGAGAGAGAGAGAGAGAGAGAGAGATCGCGCGTGTATCGGGTAAAGTAACAATATACCGAGGCCATGTTCCCCGCACGCTGTTCAATATTTACATCAACAAGATGGATATATTACCGGATTAAGATGACCCCCGTGGCTTTTTAATTATACAGGCCTCAGTGCGCCGGGACATCTGCCCTATAGAAATCAGGGCTCTCGATCCCCCGATCCGTTCTCCACCCCGCGTCAGCGATCCATTTCCCTTCACTACCAGAGTATCAATTACATTGTTATTACCTAGGGAGTAGCCGGAAGATGCGGTCAGATCGCAGATAATACACTGGTATAAGAGCATGCTGCAACAATGAGACAGGTACACAGCGTTTACCGAAGCGTGGCCCTTGTCGTGCGAGTAGCGGCGATAGCCATCGCACGGTGCAACTATGCGTCTAATTTGGATCTGCCCGCAAAGAGGATGAATCTCATAAAAAAAAAGAAGGAGGGGTACGTGCCCCACGGGGCCCAGGCGTGTGCGCCCGGCCGCCACGAGTGGTACCCCAAATACGTATGTACCGCGTATATATAGCGAAGGGTTCGTCCTTCGGAAGATTTAGTGACTCTCGGGATGACGAGCGAAGCACGAGACTCGTGGACGCCGGGGACCACGGACTTCAGCATAGCCCGCATACTCGCGAACGATCCGCCGCCGGGCACCAACGTCGACGTCGCGCGGAAACGTCGGCACGAGTCTCCGGGATGTGATTCCTCGCGGCGGAAAACGGAAGCCGGGGAACGGACACAGAAACTTCGCGGGGAGCGTGACACGCTGGGCAGAACGCGTCGCGACGCTCTCGTCACCGTCGCGGATGAGCGACAGCGGAGTGGCGACCGCAACGGCGAGAACGCGACGCGACGGACCGATCTCACGTGGCTCCAGTATACCCGGTACAGACCGCCGAGACTGCCCAGAAGGTCCCTCGCCGAGAGACGAGTGAAGCGACGAACGGGCGACCATCCCCGCATCCCGTTCTCCCCGTCCCAGCTACAAGTGTTGGAGGATAGGTACCGGAGAGGCGCTTACCTGTCCAGGAACGACGTCGTCGAGATGTCCGCGACGCTACGACTGCCGCAGAGCAAAGTACGTCGGTTGCAAGAGTCGTTCCTTTTCGTCGTCGCAGAGATCACAATCCATAAGTTTTTTGTACCTAATGTCCATCTCTATCAACGTAGATTAACTTTAATCTCGGTTTAATCTTTAAGTGCACAGCTTTTGCATATATGCAAAACAACTTTTCGATGCTCCATATATTATTCTCCCTTATTAAAAATGCGCGGCTTTGCATATCTATAAAAGGCCTTCTCTGGCCCTTCGAACCCTTCTTTTCCTTAATTCTGGATTAGAAGACCCAGAACGACATTATTTATTTAAAAAATGCTCAGAATGCTACGAAAAATTGCGTATTTAAGGATTAACTTATCTTTTATGCTTTTCTAGTTCTAAAAATTAGAAAAAAATAAAAATTAAGTTAAACCGAAATTAAAGTTAATTTGCATTGATGCACGGAAAGAACGGTTTTGCTGGAGTATCTAAAAATTTAGCTAGATACAGATCTGAAAATAATTTTGTTGCACCATTAAAATAATTATATAGAACACTCAAACTGATACCTAAAATGTCAAAATTTTTTACAGCATTATCGTCATACTTCAGCGACCTACTATAATTATTTTGATGGTGCAACAAAATTATTTTCAGATCTGTATCTATAGCTATATAAATTTTTAGATACTTCAGCAAAACCGTTCTTTTCGTGTAGAAAATGGATATAAAACTTCCAAATGCGGTTTCTTGAGAAACACTTGTCCAAATTAAAAAAAAATAAAACGTAAAAAGAGTTAAAAAATCTTTAAAACGATGTGTCACTTAACTCCTATTGTCATTTACGATTTTTGCACGTTTGTCTCGTTCGATTTGCGGGTATAATTCGTATTCGATTCGTATTCGTATTTCGACGTCGCATCGCGGTAATCTTCACACGGATAAAGCATATCCCTCTATTCTGTTGCTGATAAATAAAGAAGTTGTCCCATGCGGCCAGTCCACTGCGATCGCGATCGATAAAAAGCGATTATAGAAATCTAAATTTCCTCTTGTGTTTGTAGATCAAGATCTGGTTTCAAAATCGCCGAGCGAGGCAAAGACGCGAATCGTTGAATTCCACGATAGCGGCACGATGACTCGACAACGACGATGAAAATCGGCGATGGTTCTTCTGGAAGATCGAGGAAATTTCGTAGTCGGAGCGATCGACGATAAGTACATCGGGTCTGGACCGCGATGTCATTCCGAAATTTGATTTCCAGTGCCGCGACTATTTTATTACGTGTCCTTCGACATTTTGTACAAATAAACTCGTTTACGACTCTAAATAGCGCAAAGTCATTTGTCATGATTTTATTTCTAGCTACATAAGGAAACAGACTCTGTCTAACGAGAGATCATGGTTGATCAAACATAAATAACGATAGGGCACAGAGCCGCAACAAGGTGTTCGCGTTAAATTTTTATTTTTAATAGTACTGGACAATATCTATTAAAAATAAAAATAATTTAACGCGAACACCTTTGTTGCGGCTCTGTGTCCTATCGTTATTTATGTTTGATCAACCATGATTTCTTGTTGGACGGAGTATAGATCGAAGTTGCAATGATATTCGAACGTATCAAAAATCACGCTAGCGTCTAACAGCAAGTTATCACAATTATGTTCGAAAGAGGAAACTCTCCGTTGTAAATCATCGAATGCGTGACAAACAGCTTTATAATCTTGCTCGAGATGATAAGAGAGTTCCACGTTACAAAGGAATTTTTTTCGGAATAAAAATGTACGATATGAAGAATAAAAAGAATAAACATGATTCACATCGTATTTTTCCATTCCACGAAGTAAAATTGAGAATAGCATCCATATAATAATAGAAATTTTTTATTCGACCTTAACTAGTTAAAACACATTACTTATATTAATTTGCACAAAGCGCATTTTATGAATGCAACTTCTTTGCGTAGGCATGGTTTATTTATCATTGATATTTAAAAAACTTTTTAAACATTATATATTTCATAAATTATTGTGCATTGGGCAGAGTTATACTGTACCTTGTATTAGTGAATATGAGGTGTACTGTGACATATATTTAAGCCAAATTTAAGGGGTCAATGGTTGATTGTCCCCTTGTACACGTTTTAAATTTGATCCTAAATGATTCGATTTCATCTAAGCATGCAGTAGAACATAAAAAGTCATGATAAAGTCAAAGTGGTGTTAAATAAAGTAAATTTATGTTAAAGCACCGACGAGATACTATTAAAGACCGACAACCCTGGGGTAAATTTTCGTGACTGCCCGGGGGCCCGGTGGTAATTGAAGAATACTGACATTATCGACTGTTTTGGCTATTCGACTATTCCAAAGAAGGGAGTTTTACCTTATATAATCACTGTTTTAACGGGTGTTTTAACTGAATTAAACGGGTTTTAAACCTTCTTACTTCTTACGCGGTTTTTTGATTCGAATTCGAATTGTAGTGATTTGACGTTATTGAATCTTTCAAATTCGAACTACGTCGATTCGAATTTGAATCGAATCGAATATCGTCAGATTCGATTCGATTCGATTCGAATTCGAATAATTCGCACATCTCTACAGCAAATTCGTTAATTACATCATCATAATTAATATTTTTAACAATATTGTATTCAATCGAAATTATAGAAAGATTGGATAATCGTTCTTGTTTGATAGTCGATTTTAAATAATTCTTAATTAATTTTAACTTGCTAAAACTTCTCTCACACGAAGCAGTTGAAACGGGAAGAGTAAGAAATATTTGGAGAGCAACAATTAATCCAAAGTCATGAAGAGCCTGTGGAATATCAAGTGGAGTGGCAGTTTTAATATTTTGTATTAATATCGAGGCTTCAAACTTAAGGGCTTACATACGAGTAGACCGCAAGAAAAAAAGGTGAAATTCGGGAATTTTTATCTTGGAAACTATTAATTCGATTCGATTCGGTTTTTTTAATTTAAAAGTATCTACATTGAGGCACGTTCACAAATTTTTTTTAAGGGAATTTATTTTCAATGGCACCATCTTATGTGCCCCTTCGATCCAAACAACTTTTGTATAAAACATTTTTTCCGAAAACGTCAACTTTTCGAGATAATCCAGGGTCCCGACCTTTTTGTTACACCCGGTATATATATATATATATATATATATATATATATATATATATATATATATATTATTCCTTTATATATATTTATTGTAAAGTATTTTCATATATATAATTGTCAATTACATCAAAAAGATATAAAAAGATACAAATATTGAAAAAATTATAAAAGATTTGTACATTTCTGATGATAAAACAGTGATTATATAAGGTAAAACTCCCTTCTTTGGAATAGTCGAATAGCCAAAACAGTCGATAATGTCAGTATTCTTCAATTACCACCGGGCCCCCGGGCAGTCACGAAAATTTACCCCAGGGTTGTCGGTCTTTAATAGTATCTCGTCGGTGGTTAAAGTAATTTTTAAGTATAATAATTTATATCAAACAATACCTGCGTACTATATTTCGCTATATAACATAAAAAATCATTAATTTTTTTTGCTTAACTTGGAAAAAATTGAATTAAAAACAATTATCGTATAATTAATTAGTAGCGTTTTTTCTTGGCTGCACTACCGCCCTGCACTGCCCTGCACTACCCAATAGCGTTGCACTAGTGTTGCACTAGTGTTGCACTAGT